GTGGAGTATAAATTGGTATGGTATTTTGGTAAAAATCTATCCAAAAAATTCAGATTTTTCTTTTCAAAAGGTCTCATTGCCCCAGCTTTCGAGGAGTTCTGCTAGCAGGCAGCTTTGTCAGCCCTTTCAGGTTTGCCTCAGCCACAGAGCACAGCCTCACTCAAGGGCAAGCTTTGCTGGGGCAGCCCACAGCCTGGGATTGACAGGAAGGGCTTCCACCCATCACTTGAAGACCAATGAGTCACTTCAACTGTGCAGCTTCCCCGAGGGGTTAGCTTAGGTCCACGGGTGCAGTAGGGGTCAGTCAACTTCTCCTTCCACATAGTTTCTCTTCCTTCCGCTATCTTCCATAGCAGCTGGATTCCAGGGCACTTTTAAAAACACATCCTGAACCCTGTCAGTCTCCCTCAAAATCTGCTTCCCAGAGAAACCAGTGTGTATAAATTTTGATCTCACAATCACACTTCCGGGAGTTTGTTCCGTTGACTCAGACAGAGGTAAAGTGAAGTATAACATTCTCACTGTTATTTACTGAAATTATTTGTAAAAGCAAAAATTGGTAACAACTTTAGTATCTGACTACACAAATCAGGTGACTAATTAAATAAAAGCAGGGGGCAGAGGCAGGCAGATCTCTGAGTTCGAGGTCAGCCTGGTCTACAGAGTGAGTTCCAGGACAGCCAGGGCTACACAGAGAAACCCTGTCTCAAGAAACAAACAAATAAACCAAAAGAAGAAGAAGAAGGAGAAGGAGGAGGAGGACGAGGAGGAAGTCTGTTAGTGACATGAAGGTCTTCAAATGGTGCATGTGCCTGCATTTTTAATTTTTCATTTTCAGTATTTGTCTTACTTTGCTCTCTATTGCCGTGATAAAACACAGTAACCACAGGCAATTTGGGAGGAAGTGTTTTATTTGGCTTACATGTCCCCCCCAATCAGCGTCTATCATGAGAGGAAGACAAGGAACCTCCAAAGGTGCTCAGACATTCCTCCTGGCTGTCTACTGGTGGGCATACAGCTTGCCCTTAGAAGTTGCTAGAAAACAACCTTTCTTAAGTAAAAAAAAATTAAATGATTTAGGAAAAAAAGCCAAGAACAGGGAGCATCTGAATATCCTTCACTCAAATTTGTCAATTTTGAATATTTCGATGTATAGGCTGTATCACTCTCTGACTAGTTTATTTCTTCCAACCCTTTTGAGACCGGGCTGCGTCCATTATGTTTTTGACATCCCTGCATGCCATGTTAGATTACTATGACAAAGATTCCTTTACATAACCACGCAATTATCAAAAGTAGGATCTACGTTTATCTAAACGATGGCCCATATTCCAATTGCTTCAATTGTTCCAATAAACCTTTTAGTAGATTTTTCCCTTTTGGCACAAGTTTCAGTTTAGGACCATATACTACCTCCTGTGGTCAAGTCTCCTTAGTCCTGTTGATTATGTAAAACTAGGTACTTCTGCCATGTTGTATGCCTTTCACAAAACACTCTAGCTTCTTACAGACTTTTTGACTCCCCCTTCTAGTAGCCAGTGAGGATGTTTGCTCAATCTTTACCATTACAATTGCAAATGGCTGTTCCCCCACCCCATCTGCCCCTTTGGATTTATCAGAGGGAACTGTACCTTAAGGGAGCAGCTGTTCTCTTTCATCCATTTGTGTATCTCTGCCTTTCATTACTAAAGACTCACGGGCTCTTGTTTTATTCCGTGGGTTATGGCCAATTGTTA